GATTTTATGCTGTCCCAACAGTCCATGTGGCGGAGAAGAGTATAATAATGCAGACGAGTGGCCCCACCCTGATCACTTGTTTTGTTTGAATGGAGGAAATGCAGAATATAATTAAAGCTTCAAACAATGAATCTGTGACATTAACCACTTTCTAGAAAGACTCTTGTGCTTCTTTCTTTTTCCTGACAAACAACAATCACTGTCTCTTCAAATATCATGGCTGATAGAACATCCTTCCTTCAGGCCTATTTACAGTATTTGTATGCAAATTTAATTAACTAATTGATTGGGTAACTGATGAAAACTCACACCATTAATCAGCTGAGATGTATTTAATTAGAAGCAATGCTGTCCATAATTATTTATTATTCCTATTTGTACTGTGCTGTCAATGTGATTGCATGTATACATTTACTTCCAGAGACTTCTAGATCTCAGTTTTCAAAGTGATCAATGTGCAGAGATGCGATTCCTTGCTAATTTTCTTCTTGAAGGGGAAAAAAGTTATTTATAACCACGTTTTTCTTGCTAGAAGAAAGTCTTCTAAAAGTACTCAATTTTGGGGAGACTATTCACACTTATTATTTATTATTATTATTTATTTACAGCTTTTATATTCCGCCCTTCTCACCCCGCAGGGGACTCAGGGCGGATTACAGTGTACACATTAGGCTTGGGCGGTTTTGTTCGTTAATTTCGTAATTCGTTATTAATTCGTATTTAAATTAGCTTACGATCCAATATTGAGCCATGCATGAATAGTGTGAGGAGTAAATTAGATTCGAAACAATTTTTTCAATTTATTTCATAATTATTTCGTAATTATTTTGTAATTATTTCGTAATTGTTTTGTAAATATTTCGTAATTATTTCGTAATTATTTCGTAATTATTTTCGCATGTCTGGTGCAAGTTTTATAGTTGTTGTTTGTTTTATCACACCAACAGTCAACAACAGAGGGAGAGGGAAGCTTCAGAAGTTCCCCCTGTCCTATTTGGAGGTTTTTTTTAGCATATTGCGCAATCGAGTCCGCCATTAATGAATCGATTCGTAATTATACGAAATTTCGTATATTATTATTAAAAAAACGAAATGCAAGGGCCCCCTAAAAACAAAACGAGTTTAGAACCAAATTTTTCCGTGGTTACCCAAGCCTAGTACACATATATGGCAAACATTCAATGCCAATTTTGATGTACAACATATCCAAGACATACACAGAGGCTATTTAACTTTTTCTGGTTGCCAGGGGAGCTGTCGCTTTCATCATCCATCTGCAACACTCATGAAGTACTTTCTGCATTCCTCGCATGCTTCCCTGCTGGAGTTCTTCTTTATGGCCTCAGAAATTAGTTAATTTTAGCCTCCCCACACTTTTAAGGTGGTGCCTTATTTTCCTACTTCACAGATGCAACTGTCTTTCGGGTTGCAAAGGTCGACAACGGGCTACACAATGGTTGGAAACCCACTCCAACCCGGGCTGGCTTTGAACTCATGACCTTTTGGTCAGAGTGATCTTAATGCAGCTGACACTTAGCCAGCTGCGCCACAATCCCTGTGCAAAATTCACAAGTTGTCTTGCACACACAAAAAAGCATCATTTCTGAAAAGCAAATAGCCAATTTTTGCTCAGAACTGGACCATCAAATGACAAAATGAAAAGTGCTCAAGCGCATTGGAGTGAAGATTCTGGAAAGGGGGGAAAAAAGCAGATTTAGCCTTTAGGGTTAATTATTAGGGCTGGGCGGTTTCGTTTCGTTAATTCGTAATTCGTTAATAATTCGTTATTTTTTTCAATTACAAAACGATAACGAACCATTCTGGAGCATTTTTTAAAAAAACGAATTTTTAAACACGTTTTGTAAATGCTTCGTATTTCGTTATTGTATTCGTTTCGTTATTGTTCTGAGGTCGTTTCGTTATTATTTCCGCATGTCTGGGCAAGTTTTTTGTTTAATTAGTGAAAAAAAAATTATAATATCACACCAACAGTCAACAACAGAGGGAGAGGGAAGCTTCAGAAGTTTTTGGAGGTTTTTTAGCGTATTTCGCGGTCGCGTCCGCCATTAACGAATCGATTCGTTATTGTTTCGGAAATCGATTCGTTATTTTTTTTTTTCCGAAATTTCGTAAATACCGAACTTTTTTAAGGGAAAATTTTGTAATTATTTTAAATATCGAAACAAAAAAAACCCCCAATTACAAATCGATTTTAGAAACAAATTTTTCCGTTGTTACCCAGGCCTATTAATTATAGTTCCTTGCTTTTTTTGTAATTACAATTGTTTTCAATGATGAGATATTTAGACTGTAGAAGAATATGCCTAATGGGGTGATCATAGAAAATTCATTGCAGGCTTCTAATTGAGTTTACAGAGTCATACAGTTAAATGAAGATATAGTTCTCTATCAGTGTGCTTTAGATGATAAATTTCTACTGGGCATCCTAACAGAACACTTTCAAGACAAAACCATCAACGATACTATTTTTGTATCTCTCTTGGCATTACAACCTAATACGTTGTTCGCAAAACACATTCTGTGCTATGATTTTTGTGCCGTCGCACTTGGGGGCTATTAGTCTTAATGAAGGAGGGATGGACGTGGCACTTTTACCCCAAGGGATTGCTTCTTGCCCTCCTATAGGAAACTGGAACTCCCAAAAACCCAAAACACTGTAAATAGATCAAGATAAGTTTTATTTATCACAAAGTCATTTCTTCAAAGCAATGAGCTGGAAAACTTTAGAGGGGTGAAGGAAAACATACGTTACAGTCTCAATCAGTCCTGGGTCCAAGGGGTTTGAAGCTGAGAAGCCTCACCAAATTTCCTCTTTCCTCAATGGCTGTGAATGCCGGAACAAACCACAACCCCAATTCAGATGGCCTATGTTTTGAAGACTCAGGATCTTCCTCTGGTGCCAAAGGAACTGGCTTGAAGGCGCTTGGGATCTCCTCAATGTTATCCAGGATGATCTGGACATAAAGCATGAGTCCCAAGGGTAAAAATCCTCAGAACTGGTGCTAAGAGGTAACTTAAATCAGGGTCCTTTAGAATCAAGTCTTTTACTCACGTCCATGTGGTATGAACTCTGATGGCAGAATGAAAAGAAGAAGGAAGCTCTCCCCTCTTGCAGGAAGAGGTGGAGCCAAACAGTACTGATTGACAGCTACAAGCAACCAATCCATACAACTATACATAAGCAGGGTAAAAAGGGGCAGGATTAAGCATGATACAACATTTTAAATCTTACAACTAACAGTTCTATACATAGGTGGCGCCACTCGCACCGTCACAATTGAAGCGATAGTAATAGTCTACAGAGACATTGGGTGGTCTCTTTGTTATGCCACAGTACACTAGAGACTCATTAAGTTTCCTCTTAAGTGTCCTATTAAAGTATAATTTTTGAAGATATAAAGTGTAACCAACAGTGGGCTTCAAATGTGGATCGTGATGGATAACACCATGGATTAAAGTTAGCATTAGCATTGTATTCAGTCATTGCATGTCAGGGGATGGATTATAATCTAAAGAAGCTCAGTGTTGTAGCTCAGCCAGCTGAGGATGACAATGAGGGGTTTGGGGGTGCAGGGCCTGTAGGGCCTGATGCTTCAGGAGGCTTGGGAAAGTGAGACCGAGAGAGACTACTCAAGGCTGAAGGAATGCTTTCATGCATTGCTGTCCTTAATTAGAGAAAGAATAGCTTTTGGTTCTCAGGACAAGCAACAGTAGCAGCTAGAGCAAGAAATTCCTGCCTTGGTTCTCGCTTCAAGCCATGTCCTAGTCAAGTTTGTGCTTTAAGTCTTTGGGATTTTACCATGAACTCAAACTCATGTATTGTTCTTTGATTCTTGGATTACTCAAATTGATGTTTTGTTCCTTGTCTTTTGGATTCATCAAGCTCATGATTATACCCTGCTCCTTGGATTTATGTTCATGCTTTAACCTTTGCATTGGAAATTTATCTCTGGTTTTTGGGGACTCCTGTCCGCCCTGAGTCCCTCCTCGGGGGTTGAGAAGGGCGGGGTAGAAATGCACGAAATAAATAAATAAATATCTTACCTATTTGGATTTTTTACTCTTTTACTGTGTGTGCTTTTTCAATAAATGTCTTGGGCATCTAATAGCTGTCTTGGGCATCTAATTGTTCCTCCACTGTAAGCCGCCCTGAGTCCCCCTTGGGGTGAGAAGGGCGGGGTATAAGTAAATGAAATAATAATAATAATAAACTATTTATTCCTACTTTTGGGTTCCTGGTGAGTGCTTGAGCAAGGTGAACCCTAGCTTAGGTGAAACAGGTTAAAATCATAGAATCATAGAGTTGGAAGAGACCTCATGGGCCATCCAGTCCAACCCCCTGCCAAGAAGCAGGAAAATTGCATTCAAAGCACCCATGACAGATGGCCATCCAGCCCCTGCTTAAAAGCTTCCAAAGAAGGAGCATCTACCACACTCCAGGACACAGAGTTCCACTGCTGAACAGCTCTCACTGTCAGGAAGTTCTTCCTCATGTTCAGATGGAATCTCCTTTCCTGTAGTTTGAAGCCATTGTTCTGCGTCCTACTCTCCAGGGCAGCAGAAAACAAGCTTGCGCCCTCCTTCCTATGACTTCCTCTCACATTTTTATACATGGCTATCATGTCTCCTCTCAGGCTTCTCTTCTTCAGGCTAAACATGCCCAGCTCTTTAACCCGCTCCTCATAGGGCTTGTTCTCCAGACCCTTGATTATTTTAGACGCGCTCCTCTGGACACATTCCAGTTTGTCAGTATCTCTCTTCCATTGTTCAAATGCAACTCCGTTGGTTTCCTTCAATCCCCCTTCCTTCCATCCACCTCAAGATCATGAGATCTTCCTTTAGAAAAAGTGCTGGATTCCTATATAAGGTGTGTGTAATATGAAGGCTTGCTTGTGATTTCTTTGTGGATGGAACTTGTTATTGTTATTGTAATGGTCTTTCTTATTAATTACTAATATTCCATGTTTTTTCCCCTCCAGGAAGTACAGTGATGCGTGTGACTGCCTTTGATGCTGATGACCCATCCACAGATAACGCTCTTCTGAGATATAATATCCTCAAGCAGACACCAGATAAGCCGTCCCCAAACATGTTCTACATTGACCCAGAGAAAGGAGACATTGTCACCGTTGTGTCGCCTGCCATGTTGGACCGTGAAGTAAGTTGCATTTTAAAGGTGTATTTAAAAGATGGTGTGGACCTATTATTGTTGCCTTCATTTTTTTCAAAAACACAGTACGAAATTCATCAACATGAGAACCAAGTATCTTGTTCAGAATACTTTTGATGGAAGAGAAAAGAAGGTTGAGATATGGTCTTGTTTACTTGGTCAATGGAAGGCAGAACGATTCTGATTCATCTCTGGATGATTGGCAATAACAAGAAGGTCTGGTTTCCATTTCTGAATCATGGAAGTTGACCTTTTTGTCTCTGTGTCCAAGATGCATTTGGTGGACATGTTTAAGATCGGAAATGGGCAATTTGTAACCCTAAAGACATATGCAGTCCTAGCTGGAGAAGGAGAGGAAGCGGGAGAAAGGAATGGTAGAGAAAGAAAGGTGAGAGTGATGGAGATCCCATGAGAAAAAGGTTGGGTGATCTGCTTTTGGTTTTGGTTTCATCTCCAACTCATTTCGCTATTAACACCAAACTATGCACAACTTACTCAAAATGTGGTTGACCCACAGGTCTATTTCTTGGACTCCTATCAGCCACCTTTCCCTTTCAAACTCTTATGATACAGCTATTCCTTTATGGGAGGGGGGTTAGTCCCTCCTATTGATCAGTGGTTTTGGTGTGGTGCTTAAGTATATCCAGTTGTGCTTGTTAATTATGAAATTAACCCATTCAGAAACTATTTTTGGTAAGAGGTCAATTTAGCACATAGTTATTCTGTTTCTTCCATCTCAATATGAAAAAGTGTGTTGGGTTGTGGAATTCTTTGTGTAGTTTGGGACGTCTTGCTCCCTCTTTGGTTAGTTAGTTCATTAATTGATAGGCCCTTCCTTCCTTCCTTCCTTCCTTCCTTCCTTCCTTCCTTCCTTCCTTCCTTCCTTCCTTCCTTCCTTCCTTCCTTTCCTTCTTTGATCTCTCCATGATTATTATTGTTATGATGATGATAATTATTTCAAAAAGGGATTTGACCTGGCGAACTGTGAATGTCTTTATACTCCTTTTTCTTTTCACAAAATTTTAATTGCTCTTTCGGGTTCTTTTTGATCCTACTGAAGTCACAACTTGTACTCCTTTTTCTGCCAAATGATTGACTGATGGGTTTGATGGTTTGGTTGCTTTGACTCTGAGTGTCTCTTTAGAGGTAGAAAGGGCAGGTTGCATAAGGAAGTGAATAATACAAAATAAAATAATGAAACAAAGGGGGGAAACACCATTGGTCTTCCCTCATTTGCCAACTTAGTCTGTTCGAATCTGTGATCTGTAATACACTCGGTATTATTTAGGTTTGTTGGGGAAAGCAGAAAATATATATAACTAGCTGTCCCCTGCCACGCATTGCTGTGGCCCAGTCTGGTGATCTGGAAAATAAAGTAATGAGAAAGTGTTGGTTTCTAATATATGTAAATTCTTTAGGCTTGTGAGTAAATAGTATTTCTTGTTGTTTCTTTGTCAGTGTTGCTGTGGAGAGTGTCTGGTTTGCCTACTCTGGAATATGGAACATATCATAGTCCTTCTTTAAGGGTCTCTTTCAAATCCATTATACTATATCTGTATGTGTATGAGAATCATATCTATCTATCTATATTTATGACGGGATGGCTCTTTGTCAGGAGGGCTCTGATTAAATTTTCTTGCCCTGGTGAAGAGAGTTGGACTGGATGGCCTTAAGTATTTTCTGTTGGTCATGGAAGTCCTGTATGCCAGGTTTGGTTCAATTCCATCATTGGTGGAGTTCATAATGCTCTTTAATTGTAGTGAACTATAAATCCCAGTAACTACAAATCCCAAATGTCAAGGTCTATTTCCTCCAAACTCTATCTGTGTTCATATTTGGGCATATGGAATATTTGTGTCAAGTTTGGTCCAGATCCATCATTGTTTGAGTCCACAGTGCTCTCTGGATGTAGGTGAACTACAACTCCCAAACTCAAGGTCAATGCCCACCAAACCCTTCCAGTATTTTCTGTTGGTCATGGAAGTTCTGTGTGCCAAGTTTGGTTCAATTCCATCGTTGATGGAGTTCAGAATGCTCTTTGATTGTAGGTGAACCATAAATCCCAGCAACTACAACTCCCAAATGTCAAGGTCTATTTTCCCCAAACTCCACCAGTGTTCACATTTGGGCATATTGAGAATTTGTGCCAAGTTTGGTCCAGATCCATCATTGTTTGAGTCCACAGTGCTCTCTGGATGTAGGTGAACTACAACTCCCAAACTCAAGGTCAATGCCCACCAAACCCTTCCAGTGTGTTATGTTGGTCATGGAAGTCCTGTATGCCATGTTTGGTTCAATTCCATCATTGGTGGAGTTCAGAATGCTCTTTGATTGTAGGTGAACTATAAATCCCAGCAACTACAACTCCCAAATGTCAAGGTCTATCTCCCTTAAACTCCATCTGTGTTCATATTTGGGCATATGGAATATTCGTGCCAAGTTTGGTCCAGATCCATCATTGTTTGAGTCCACAGTGCTCTCTGGATGTAGGTGAATTACAACTCCCAAACTCAAGGTCAATGCCAACAAAACCCTTCCAGTGTTTTCTGTTGGTCATGGGAGCCCTGTGTGCTAAGTTTGGCCCAATTCCATCATTGGTGGAGTTCAGAATGGTCTTTGATTAACTATAAATCCCAGCAACGACAATTCCCAAATGACAAAATCAATTTTTTTGACTGGAGGACATACATTGGGTTGTTAGGTGTCTTGTGTCCAAATTTGGTGTCAATTCCCCCAGTGGTTTTTGAATTCTGATGGTATCACAAACGAACATTACATTTTTATTTATATAGATGTAAGCAAGAAAGGAGGACAAGGGAATATTTTTTCTGTATCCTTTCTAAAGGATGTATTCTATGATCAACTTATGGCAGAAACTGCAAAATCTCCACTTTCTCCACTCTCTTCTGAGCCTCAGAATAGCTCGGACTTATAAGGAAAGCTATGTTCATTCATTCAGTCGTCTCCGACTCTTCGTGACCTCATGGACCAGCCCACGCCAGAGCTCCCTGTCGGCTGTCACCACCCCCAGCTCCTTCAAGGTCAGTCCAGTCACTTCAAGGATGCCATCCATCCATCTTGCCCTTGGTCGGCCCCTCTTCCTTTTGCCTTCCACTTTCCCCAGCATAATTGCCTTCTCTAGGCTTTGCTGTCTCCTCATGATGTGGCCAAAGGACTTCAACTTTGTCTCTAGTATCCTTCCCTCCAGTGAGCAGCCGGGCTTTATTTCCTGGAGGATGGACTGGTTGGATTTTCTCACAGTCCAAGGCACTCTCAGCACTTTCCTCCAGCACCACAGCTCAAAAGCATCGATCTTCCTGGACATTGCTCTCCTCCCAAGAAGTAAGCGTCTTCTGATTTCCTGGCCACAGTCTGCATCTGCAGTAATCTTTGCGCCTAGAAATACAAAGTCTTTCACAGCCTCCACATTTTCTCCCTCTATTTTCCAGTTGTCAATCATTCTTGTTGCCATAATCTTGGTTTTTTTGATGTTTAGCTGCAACCCAGGTTGTTAATGTTTCTTCCAGCAATTTTCACCCCAGCTTTGCATTCATCAAGCCCCGCACATCGCATGATGTGTTCTGCATACACGTTAAAAAGGTTGGGTGAGAGTATACAATCCTGCCGTACGCCTTTCCCAATCTTGAACCAGTCTGTTGTTCCGTGGTCAGTTCTTACTGTTGCTACTTGGTCCTTGTACAGATTCCTCAGGAGAGAGACAAGGTGGCTTGGTATGCCCATCCCACCAAGAACTTGCCACAAGGAAAGCTATACTGAACTGGAAAAGCCAATGTTGTGACCTGCACCCTCAATTTCTTCTTCGTGTCTCACATTATATTCCTGGTTCAAGACCTGCCAAAGTTGCTTTACCTTCCAACTGTCATGTTTAAGAGTGTGAAGGGATGTGCAAGATATGAAGCCAAGAAATTAATAACAGAAGCCTGGGCCTTTAATCTAGCATCTATTTGTTAGCTGCTTTCACACCAAGATGCTGCTGATTCAGAATCTCATAAAGTAGATATACAAGTCTTACCCAAGATAAGCTTTGCCAATTCCCTCGGTGCTTCAGATATTTTCTGACTTGCATAGAGAAAAAGAAATAAGGGGAACACCTTTGTGTAGTATTAAATCCCTGTGCAGAAACAAAACAAAGTTGTAGGCTTTGCAGCATTGATAAAATGATGACGGTCATAAATGTGGAAATTTACAAGTTCTAAATCTATGGAGAGATGCCGGCAGTTATCCGTATGCCATGTTTTAAAAGGCATTCCCGCCTAGATCAGTACATCCAATCTCTATTCAGTTTAGAATGTGGAAGAATTATTTTCTAGACAAGAGCTTCCAAAATCCCAATAATAATAATAATAATAATAATAATAATAATAATTATTATTATTATTATTATTATTTGCTTTATTTCTATACCGCATTTTTCAGCCCAATTAGGCGACTCAATGCGGTTTACATAATACAGGTTATTTATTTTATTTATTTATTTATTTATTTATTTGCTGCATTTATTGACCGCCACTCTCAGCCCTAGGGCGACTCGCGGCGGTGTACAACATATAAAAACAGTTTACAAAAGAGCGAAACAGGAAATCAACACAACAGTAATACACAATAATCTAAATTACACTAAATAATCCGCTCCGTCGCATCATAGAATCATAACCAGTGTCGTAATCCATAATTCCGTTCCAGTTGTCAATTACCAGTTGCCGTAGCGCTCAGTTAAATGCCTTCTCAAAAAGCCACGTCTTCAGGCTCCTACGGAAGGACAAAAGGGAGGGCGCCTGTCTGATGTCAACAGGGAGGTCGTTCCACAGCCGGGGGGCCACCACCGAGAAGGCCCTTTCTCTCGTCCCCGCCAGACGCGCCTGTGAAGCAGGCGGGATCGAGAGAAGGGCCTCCCCAGACGATCTCAAGGTCCTCGTGGGCTCATAGGCTCATTCTTTCCCCGGATGATCTCAAGGCCCTCGTGGGCT